AGCCGTCATCACCAAAAAAAGCACTTGCACCTTGGAAAAATTCGATGATGAACGCTTCCAAAAAAAGCAGCCAAGAAAAGCCTACTAGAACACCTGCGCTTTTTCGGGGCATTGACCAGAGGCGCCTTAAATGGGGGCAGTCCCATTTGAATGTCATTGGTGAATTTTGAATCCAGCCAGAGCCTCCGTTACAAGAGGGTGTGCAGACTTTTATTTCCGTTATGTTCCTCTCTCGGTAAGTTATTATTGATGGAAAAATGACCATTTATCTCGGCATTAAAATAGGGGTGTGTAAACTTTTCATATGCACTGTATGAGCACACAGGCATGCTTAACAATTATGAATCACTGTCTCCTCAACAGAGCCGATTGTTCCGATGTACAGGAGTGCCCAGTTAATCTAATGTGGCAATTAAAACGTCACTTTACGCAAGAGAGCGCCATTGATATTCAAATCCAATCGTGTTGCGATGTCATTAATCAGCTGCAAACAAGCCGACACTCTCCCGAGCTCATTCCTGGAGAATCCACTTGTGTTGGATGACCACGTTGCTGACTTTCAGCTCCAATGTGTTGTTGCGCAACGGTGTCTTTGTGGTATATATATATATATATATATATATATGTATATATATATATTTTATTTTATTTTTTTTTCATCATAGCATGATATGAGCATGAACTTGAGCACCAACTAAGGCGACTTTTTTTAACCGGTGAAAGCATCACAATCACAGTTTTCCACCCATCTTTTCTACTTCCTTTCTAGGACCAAGCTTACCTAATGGAATTTCAGAGCAAGGCTAAGAAACTCCAAGAGGTGACTGATGGAAAATATCGACCGTCATCCTCAACTAGTCAATCAGTGGAAGCCGCTACACAGAACCTAAACGAGCGTTTGCTCGCTGTCTGCACCATTATCCACCGTGTGTGTGAGGAGTTCCCCGTTCACAGGGAAGCTCTCTGTGCTCTGTTACTGCCTTTGGAAGCAGGCACACACAGTCTCCAGGAACAGGAAGCAACATGTGAGTGATATGCAAAAAGTACAAAGACCGAGAGTACTGAAGAGCAGCAGGAAACATTTGAAACTCAGAGCCCCCTAATTAGGCCTGATGGATTACGTGGAGGCAGTGGTGTCACTGTAATACGTTCATGAGCAGGGCAAGATGTCTTTTGGCGAAAGGCAAGGGACACCCTGGACTGGTTGTCACATGCACATAAAGAGAAAGACACCCATTCACGCTCGCCTACACGCACTGTCAACAATGAGTGGGAAGTGAACCCATACTGCCTGCTCAAGTCAGGCCATCAGTGATGCAAGTAATTGTAGTGGGTATAGTATTCTGTTTTTCCTAATTTTGTTGTCCTTCTGTTGCTGTTATTTCTAGTCTGTCTATACTCCTCTGCAAGTAACCACCAACTAGATATCTTGAACTACTGCTGGTCATCTCAAACAGCCCGGACAATACTTATATTACCGGTAATGAGCACTAGCCCTCGGACTTGCACCCAAAATCCGTTCACATTTTCATTTATCAATTAATCTGAGAGTCCTGAATCAACTCAAGGTGGTTAGGAAATATCAACTCAAAGTGGTTACTTTTGCCCAAAAACTTTTTTTTTTTTTGCACGGGCGGAATTCTCAGACCCTTGACTGCAGCCCAGGCAAGCCCATTGGTAAAGGCCGCACGGGCGGAATTCTCAGACCCTTTGACTGCAGCCCAGGCAAGCCCATTGGTAAAGACCGGTGACAATGATTAATTCTCACGCAAATCCCAAAATTTTGATTCGGCATTCATTTTTGAACAGCCAATCTGAGTCACCACCAATTTGTGCCGAGCCCAAACAAGCACACATGGACTCACAACCATTTGCTCTCACACTGACACATAGGGACAATTTAGAGTGTTCCATACCTGCCACTGCAATTGGCTGGCAACCAGTTCAGGGTGTACCCCGCCTACTGCCCAAAGTCATCTGGGATAGGCTCCTCAACGCCAGCAACCCCCGTGAGGTTAAGCTGATTCGAAGATGGATGGATGGATTAACCTGCTATGCATGTTTTTGGAATGTGGGAGGAAACCGAAGTACCCGGAGAACCCCCACACAGGCGCGGTGAGAACATGCAAACTCCACAGAGGAAGGCCGGAGAATCGAACCCTGCACCTCTGCACTGTGAGGCGGACGTGCTCACCAGTTGCCCGCCCACAGAACATTCAAGTGCTCTTCCATTAGACGTCAGAAGCTACAATAAGCCTTTGCATCACCTGTTGCCATGAATGCAACAGAGTCAGCGATGGCTTTCTGCATCTATCACAGTTGTGGCCCATATTTCACGCTTCAGTCAACCAATTGTGAGTACACTGAGCTGAGATGATCATTATTTTAGTGTTCATTTTTGTTTGATGGAGTGCTGTGAGATTTTTCTCCTGTAAAATGGGTGCCGCGACCCAGCTCAATAAAGTTTGTTAAACATTGATTTAGAGTCTTCTCTAACCCCAAACACAATATACATTGTTTGGAATACAGTAGGCCTATCGGAGGAAGGCAGAGTACCCAAAGAAAACCCACATTAGCAGAGGTAGAACATGTGACTACTTGTAGTTTGTGGTTGGATTTACTCAACTGTAGTCATATAGCGCTTAAAAACCACCGCTGTTCACAAAATGCAGTACTGTACATTGAGCAGAAATAAGTCATACAACAAAAATGCGTAACAAAGACAGTAAAACGCACAAAAACAGTCAAACCAAAACCAAGTCTCATGCTGAGTCAAAAGCCAAAGAATAAAAACGTGCTTTATGAGTTTTAAAGATGGGCAGTGAGGGGGCTTGTCTACCATTCATTCCAAAGGGAGGGACCAGCAACGTAAAAGGCCCAAACCCCTCGGAGCCTTTGCTTAGTCCTCGGCACCTCTAATAATGTCTAGTCTGCAGGCCTGAGACACGAGGCAGGTGCAAAGGGGTGAAAGGCCTCCGAGAGGTACGGTGGCGTGAGACCATTTAAAGATTTGAAAATAAAAGTCCAAAATATATCTGGAGCCAGTGAAGGGACACCGGAGTAGGAGTTATGGGCTCCCTCTTACGAGTACCAGTCAAGAGTCAAGCAGCAGCATTTTGGACCAACTGGAGACAGTTTGGAAGATTGCCTAACTCGAAAATGAAGTGCATTCCAGGAATCCAGCCGAGATGTGACAAGGGCATGAATTACTGTTTGAGAGAGGAGAGGATAGGCTTTACCTTAGCCAGCTGCATAAGATGAAAAAAAGAGAAAACCCCTTCATTGGAATTCAAAAAATTCGGTGCCATCCAGGTATTGATTTCCTCCCGACAGGACAAAGGTGGCCTCAATGAGAAAGCGTCAGCGGCACATAGATCTGACAGTCATCCAGCCAACTCACTTGACAGGTTCTTGCAGCCCAGCCTGTGTGAGGCACGCTATGCGACAGTACATGCGTCGCTTTCTCCAGTGCTCGTTTTTTTACTCCACCATAGTCAGAATTTCATCATAAAAATTGCTGTACATACGGACTGGAAGGCGATCTTGCCCACCTATTTTCTGATTAAAACAAATATGCGGGACTGAGTCGTAAAGGGCCGTGGCAAAATATCGGTGCCCACATATTTTTAATTTAATTTTATTTTTGTAATTCGGGAAGACCGTGCCACTCCATCAAATTAAATAAAAAAATTATAAACTTAACCGAATAAAAAAGGCAAAGTGGTGTAGAAAAGGAATACATGGGGGGAAAAAATAATTTTAAAGAAATGACAAGTCGTGGGGCGGCACGGTAGTCGACAGGTTAGCAAGTCTGCCTCACAGTGCAGAGGTGCAGGGTTCGATTCCAGCTCCGGCCTTCCTGTGGGGAGTTTGCATGTTCCCCCATGCCTGTGTGGGTTTCTCCGGGTACTCCGGTTTCCTCCCCCATTCCAAAAACATGCATGGCAGGCTGATTGAACACTCTAAATTGTCTCCAGGTGTGATTGTGAGCGCGAATGGTTGTTTGTCTCTGTGTGCCCTGCGATTGGCTGACAACCTGTTCAGGGTGTACCCCGCCGACTGCCTGATGACGGCTGCAATAGGCTCCAGCAAACCCGTGAGCCTTGTGAGGATAACTAGATTAGAAAATGGATGGATGACAGGTAGTGTTGGTTAAAAAACACAAACAAAGTAAAAAGGTAGTACCAATTGATCAAGGCCAGAGGGTTAACAACATTTATCATCTTTACTAAGGTTCAGGTTGAGCTTGTTAACATTAATGGCCAACAATGATACATATTGTCAATTGCAGTGTGTCAACACATCTTAAAGTCACAAGTGTTCTTTCAGCGACTGCAGGTGTTAAATTTGGCGAAGAAACTGTCATCGATGCGTCCTCTTTTGATGTCAGGTCTGTTGCGTCTGTCATATTCAGCGGTGGTGCTGTTGTTGTGGTCCAGCTCTTGCCGCAGCTCCTTCTTCTGTCGTTCCTGCTGCCTCTGTAGGATCAGAGCCGTACGTGCCGCGTTCGAGCACCACCGAGCATATTGTTGCTTCTCTCGGATGCCCTCCAACTTGGTCATCATTTTCTCCTCAACTTGAAGGTTCCAGAACTTTTTCATCTGCTGCGAACTCTCGGGACGTGGCCTCCTGTCGTAGCTGTGAAAAATACCCGGTACCCCCACCTGACTCGGCCGTATCTCTCTCGGGTCGTCTTTGAGTTCCCGTTCATACCGTTGCCTCTCTTCAGCCATGGCCTGATTGAACTCGTTCATTTCGACCGCGTTTTTTTTCCTCTTCTCCATCTCGGCGTTTTCCAGTCCCAGAGCTACATTGTCGATATGTACTCTAAATTGGTCGTCGGCCAACTTTTCCATTCTCTGTCTTTCTTTCTCCACGGCTTGCTCTGTCTGTTGCTGGAGCAGCCACTCTCTCAATTGCTCTTTCTGCCTGTATACGCGGCTTTCACTGTCCGGGTCCTCCCCGGCCATTCCAGGAGGCATCATGTGTTCCACTGCTTCCTCAGAGTCATCCCGGTTCAACCTCTCCTGAATGGCACGCTCATACTGTTCCAGAAAATTGGTCCTCTCCATTGCTTGTTTCTCCTTTTCTTCTTTGACATGAAGAAGGTACGCTTGCTTGCTATCATGTAGGAATTGGGCCTCAAAGGTGTCCTGTTCCAGTTTTTCGGCATCTTTCCATTTCTTCTTGTCATCCAGCTGCTTTTCAAGGCCTTCTTTATCGATACCAATGGTTCTGAGTTTGTCGTTAAAAATTCTCTCTTTTCTTTCTCGCTCATTGTTGCGACGTCTCTCTATACTTGCCAGTTCAAAGCGAGAGCCATTCCACATTTTGCCTGACAAATCAATATGCAGTCCGTGTTAAAATTACCAGCTTGTTGAGAGTGGTTCACCACGACACTGACCTACAATCCACTAGATTTCTGTTATGGCTGGTCCTGAAACACAAAACGCACAAAAATAAACCAAAAAAAAACATTCACACACCAAGATTTTACACAACTAAGATTGTTTATATGCGTCTTGCTGGAAATCAGACAAAGGACTTTAAAAACAATATAATACCGTATTTCCCGCACTATAAGGCGCACCTAAAAGCATTCAATTTTCTCAAAAGCCGACGGTGCACTTTGTAATCTGATGCACCTTTTTATGATGTTCCAGTCTCTTTATATCCCCCCATTGAGTTGTTTCCCTGTTCGTGTCCCTGTGCCATCTCGTGGTGATTATTAGCAGGCACCAATTGTAACCTAAAAGGGTTCTTTCGCTGCCTGACAGTAATTTACATGTGCAATCACCAACACACACTCAAACAAAATTAGCCATTATGAAATAAAGATACTACCAAAAGCATAGTTAAGACTAAACGAAGGAAATAGGAGGCAAGCAAGACTTCTAAGGATATTTAGCCCCTTGTCGAGGTGAGTCCAAAAGGTTTGTGTGCCTTTTTGTTGAATCAAATGTCTTTGTAACTTTTGTCTTTCATTTATTGTTTGGTAATTCCATTTGTATTTATATGTTTCATGTCCATGTTTGTGACCAGTTCTTATTGTTACAGCTGCAGCAGTTGTGAAGGATCTACATCAATAAAGCTGTATTGTATTGTATTGTATTCCTTTTAGCGTAGCTCTATCTAGTGGATGCACAGCGCGACCGCAGCCAGTAATTGTAGCTTCTATTCTATGTGCCTTATGATGCAGTGCGCCCTATATATAAAAACAGTTTTAAAATAGGCCATTCATTGAAGGTGCGCCTTATAATCAGGAGGGTCTTATAGTGCAGAAAATTCCTAAACTAAAAAATGTGAAGTGTAATTACTGGAAAATATTATTTTTTAAAAAGTTTTTTGTTTAAATTATCTCCTTGACATTATGACTAAAAGCAATCTTTTGCACCATTATACTTTTAGTATGCAACGATATATTTCGAGAAGAGTCAATCTGCCTGTATTGTAGAAAAAGGGAATGGCTTAGTTCAAGAATGATCATTTCAATACGGCACTGTTTCTCATACTGGTTTAAACAATGTAATTGGTAAATATTTCTTCAAACAATCACTTTCACCATTTCCATCCACAGTACACTCATTCAACAAAGACATTTACATTAACTCGGAATGTGGCCAGATTATGAATTATTTTGTGGTTGATAAAGACGGTGAGTTTAAATACCTATGCAGCATAATACAGTGCCATGAGCATGTATTTGCAACCTTCTACCATTATTATTGTTTTACAGAGATTGCCCATTTTGTTTCCGATCAACAAACAAATGCAAAGCTCGGACAAGAGCCGAAGTGAACATAAAATGCAGTTTTCAAATGGTGCTGTGATTTATGCACATCTCTCTGTGACCTCATCATTTGTAGCTTTCTAGATTGTATTCGAATAATCTAACACGAAATTGCAGCGACAGTAGGTTGGGATGGAAGGGGGAGTTGCAGGTTCCTAATCACTAACCTCCAAGGCCTAAATTATTCGAATCGATTGACATTTTTTGAAATGAAATGACTGTTGACTATCAAGAACTCATGAAATTTCAGGGTGACTAGAACCCGGTATAACGTACAACAGGGGTGTCAAATTCATCTTTCTCGCGGGCCTCATTGTAGTCACAGTTTCCCTCGGAGGAAAACTGTGTGTAACCGTATAAATGTTGAATTATTACATATACAGTCTAGATTTACTGTATAACTAGTTTTGAAATAAAAAAAAAATCAAGCACAGAAGTTTGTTTAACTGTTGTTCAAGTTACTGTAATAACGTAACAAGAAAATGCTTGCAATTGCTCACCATTATTATTTATTACATGAGGATTTGAAATTTTGTGACAGATTTTAACAAGCATCATGGGAGTTGACCTGATTAATTTGTTTTTGCAGGCCATATGAAATAATGTGGTGGGCCAGATCTGGCCCCCGGGCCTTGAGTTTGCGATCAGTGCTATAGCCCCCTGGAAGAATCCTGAAATTCAGCGGTACTTCTTTATTTTTTGGTCTAACATCTAACTTCTTATTTCATCTATTCGTTTATTTTACTTCTGGCTTTAGAAACGGCATCCTGACAAGTTTTTTTTTCCAACATCACCACTGACAAACAAAAGCCCTCTTTGGTACTTAACCCGGTTTTGTCTCACCGTAGGCAACACCGTTGTCTAGCCTGCCAGGTTTAAAAAAAACACACACACACACACACACATTACACTTGATCCTGGAATTTCCTGACGTACTCCAAGTAAACTATTATAACTCTACTTCCTTCCCCTCAAAAAGCTTCCAACCCTTACTTTTCTACTCACTAATCCGATCTACTTGATCAACGACAAATTCAACACAACTCATCGCATCACCTTCAAAATCAAGGGAATTCAATGTCACCCTGTCGATTAAAGGGATGACATCATCCTTCGACAAAGCCCTCGGCGCCTCGCTACCGGCTGAACTCATCCTTCACATATTTACAAATTGTGTGATCATAAAGTTTTCAAAGTCATACATCACCAAGAGTAAGCATAAAGGATGACATCACAGGAATAATATACAATTGTGGACATTTTGGAAATGGAAGTGGACTTTTCTTTTTCTCAGTGTCTGTGCCACAAGTTTCACACTACACTCTGTATGTCTACATCCTGTACGTCACCAGTCAATAAAAGGAATAAACACATGAGTCTCACTGATATTGTACCAATTGAGCGGCAGCATTTTGCTTTTTTTTGTGTGTTTTTTTTCACACCGGAACCGGGAGTTCATCTGAGGTACAACAGTATTCAAAAATATTTTGACAACTTTTGCAAGCGGCAGTGGGCAAATATTCCCCAGTCAAGGTGCGCCAGCAACCCAGTGGTCACGATCCGAAGACACGTCGATCTGGTGGGGAAAATTGTTCGGTTCACACCGAACCGAATAATGTTTTAGGATTCCAAATACCGTATGCAGGATTAGACAAGGTGCGATTACAAAAATGTTTATTAAAAGAAAATTGCACCGACAAAGTATTAACTGGAATCGCTGGTCACAAGCAGCCAGGAATAAACAATTTATGAAACAAAATGTGCTTGCAGAAGCAAGGTTCAATAGAACATAGAATATACGCAAATGGAACTGTCAAAAATCCAATGACATGAAAAGAATCAAATAGTAAATAATAAATACTTACAAACTAGAATCTACGAACAAACGGGGGTGACTATGAATATATCGAAAGGTCTTGAAAATAAGCTCACCAGCGAGCGAGGTCAATAATCCGACAACGAGACATGATCTTGGCAGTCCTTAAACACATGGCCAAGCATGATAAGGAAATGTGGAACGGGTGCGCCTGCTGGAGGGAAACTCCCTTCCCTCCAGCCGTAGTTTAAACACAATTCAAGACAGCACAGGACAAAAATTAAGTTTGCAGATTCAGGTGCGCCCCATCCACCTGACCACCGTTTGCTGAGCCTGAAGTACTTTATGTGTGTGATGCTGTTGTGGTAAAGTTCTTCCATTTATGTCTTGCAAGAAAGAGGTGTTAGTAACAGTTCAGTTTTGTTGTTTTTTTTTGTTGTTTTTTTTCATTCTAGGTTATGGCCAGCAGAAACAAAAAGAAGTGCTGTGAAGTCTCTTGACACAAGTTGGACAGGAATACTCAACATAACCTGCAGCAAGTGTAAGAAACACATATGCAACAGAGAGTGAAACTCATGTTTGGTATCGGCTGGTGTAAACCGGCAAATAATTCAATGATGTGTTGAGTCTGGTTTCCTTTCTGAAGTGTGTTCAGTTTGTCTTCTGTATACTGACCTCAATGAGTTATATGTCGTTTAAATGAATACAAATATAGAGATGTGAAAGATCTTTCTTCATTTGTAAATCTGTTTTTCCACACACTCCACTTGATTATCACTGATTTTGATTTTTTTTTTATTTTTTTAAAGTTGTACATGAATTCTTAAACGGGATCTAACAAAGGTAAAGGGCAAACATTAACCTCGTTTGCCATTTATATGACTTGGATTTGGGATGACATAAACACCTATTGGGTATTTTACAGAAAATTATTGTGTTGTTTTGAAAAACCAAAAACTCTAGCGAGGCCACTCGACCCATGAACACCACTCAAGGGTTAAATTACGACAGATTCTTTTAGGGGCGTGACTTTTAGTGTTGACATCATTTTTACATTCAGACCCTATTACATAAGTGCCAATGTTGAGCCCACTCATATGTGTCCCTTTAACAGTTTGTGCATCAATACTTCATTGCAGCTCCTTCTGGGATACACAACTTGGGGGATGGGTGGTGGTTCAACACTTGTCATTCAGACAAAAAAAAAAAGCGTTCAACTACTGGAAGGGGACTCAAGAATCTGCAGTTAGATTACTGGTCGTAATATTTCATAGAGGATAAAGAATATATGCCTGTGAGTAATGTTATTTCACGTGCTGCCCCATTTGTGTTCCTGAAACCATGATGACACCACCTCACAGATGCGATTCATTAGTTCGCGTTTGGCGTTTCCCAGTATGTACAATTCCGGACCACTAGTCTTAACAGTAGAGTACAATTCAACTTGAGTACAATTCATTTTCACAATCGCTACAGCTGTAACAAAACCGTCATTCTGATTATTGCGCTTGTAGAAATACTAGAAAGTGAATTTCACACTAAAATTCATCCAATTTTGTTCATCTCAGCGAAGCGGCCATTTTGCCAGTAGCTGACATCACAGTTGCTCAGGGCTCAGGTTACGCCCAATCATGCCTCAGCTTGTGATGTCACATGACTAAACTCAGAAAAACCTGTCGTTGGTGAGCCCTGTGCCGTGGCAATTGCCGTTAGTGGTAGTTCAATTTATCAAAATGAATAATCACAATTATTGTGAACATTACTGCTCATTGAAAAAGAAAAGACAAGACAATATTCAAACATTTTAGGATCAGATTATCCAATCAGTTATTTAATATATCAAGCCAATGTTCTTTTCCAAACGATCACTTCTGCAATCAGCTTGGAAATCTGATGTTGATTCTACAGAAAGTTGCACCATTTTTTTAATATATTGAAACAAGGCTTAAATTCTGAACATGGAAGAACAATTTTCATGGATATTAGACTACAGTATTTCCAATTAGTTATTCTCCATCATGTTGCACAGTCTGAGTGAAATTACCTGTGATGGCCACTTTTTTGACAAACTCGTCACGATTTGCATTTTGACATTGATGCTTAAATACGTACTTGAAACTCAGACCTAGAGTTCCATAAAAGCACTGCTTTGAAGCGTCTGTCAAATCCAGGGACACCAGGATTTTTTTTTTTTTCGGGTGGCTGGACTGATAAATAAGGGGGCTGAGTAAATTATTTATAATTTTTTAGAATAGCAAATAAAATGCTGGAGCGATTAACTGGAGCTCCACAAATTTCTGACAGAGCTAAAGCTTTAAAACGTCAACCTTAAAATGTTAAAATATGAAACATGACATTTTATAAAGTAATGTTTAACTTCTTTCTGGTGTGGCAGCACTGTTTCTTTAGCATTTAAATTAATATAGGTTATAAATTATTCCGAAATTATTATATTGTTTTTATTTACATTTTACACAACGTCCCAATTCCAAAATGAGGTGTGGAAAAAAAGCTCATATGAGACTTCTACAAGATTCTATGAAACACTGAAAGTCAACCTGCTTTTTTTTTAACCTAGCTAAATGCTTTGGGGCACAGTCATGTTGAAACATAAAATGAGCCGGTCCCACACAGTTGTAAGCGTCCAATTGTCTAAAAGGTCTAAGTAGGAAAAAATATTTAAGATTCAGGGGGACTTGAGGGTGCGGTTCCAACTCTCTTGATTCAGCTATGTGGCTGCAAAGTGGAAAGTGTCAACAAAGCGGCAGGGTGTGTAAATGACGTATTGTGAAAAAAAAATAGGTGTTGAATTCAAAACAATGGACGAAGAACAAGCATCTGCACATTCCACCAAGATTTAAAACAAGAAAACATAAACCCAGGTTCCACCGAGATTTGAACTCGGATCGCTGGATTCAGAGTCCAGAGTGCTAACCATTACACCATGGAACCCGCACGTGCAAAGCGGTCAAAATGCTTTGTTTTATACATCTGTCCGCGATTAATGCAGTACGTATTGTAGCTATATCGAAACAAAAATCATGTAAATCGAGACGCCCAACCTTTTTTTGGGCCGAAAAGTCTACTTTTCGATCAACCAACGTCCCGTGATCGACCCGTTACCGCACACGCGCGCCTCCACACGCACCGACACACGTATGGCGTATGAGCAACAGCCATTAAAGCCCGTAACGAAACGGAAAAATAAAGTAGACCCAAGGGTTTGTGGGTTTCACACTTTCTGTGCGAAAGTGAGATGCTTTGTCAATAACAGTCTTATCCATAAAAGTGAAACACGAATCTCGTCCACTCTCCTTTCAAAATGCTTTGTTTTATAGATCAGTCCGCGATTAATGCAGTACATTGTAGCTATATCGAAACAAAAATGTAAATCGAGGCGCCCAACCTTTTTTTGGGCCGAAAAATCTACTTTTCGATCAACCAACGTCCCGTGATCGACCCGTTACCGCACACGCGCGCCTCCACACGCACCGACACACGTATGGCGTATGAGCAACAGCCATTAAAGCCCGTAACGAAACGGAAAAATAAAGTAGACCCAAGGGTTTGTGGGTTTCACACTTTCTGTGCGAAAGTGAGATGCTTTGTCAATAACAGTCTTATCCATAAAAGTGAAACACGAATCTCGTCCACTCTCCTGCAATCAATCCTACACATACACGAAGGTGTAATTTTGATTCAGACGACTGAATTTGTCATCAAGATCGAAGCGATAGTTTCCTTCAGAACATCCCTCCAGAGTACACTGTTACGTATATTGACAACATGACTTAAGTAATGTGACTGTCTTAATCATAAACAATAATACAAGCACTTGTCGTTTTGATGTCACTGACATGTTCAGTGACACACATATTTTTCCCTTTTGAAAGATTACCAAAGGATTCTGAGAAAGGTAGTGATGGGACGAAATGGGCCGAGGCTCCGAAGTTTGTGTCGAGTAATGGGAGGGGCGTTTCCACGAAGCTTGTATCAAGGCGCGCGTCATTCGGCAAAACACGGAAATTATGACGTGTGAAGCCTCGCCGGCCGGCTGAATCACTTTAGCTCTTTGTGAGTGGTCCGACGTTTGGCGCGCATTGCAAACACAGTACAGACTACGGTATAAATAGGTTGCAAAACGCAATGGCGATCGCCTGTTATCTCACATTTTATGGATTTCGGCTTTCGGGCTCCTGTACTTGTTACACTTGTGCGCAACAGTGCAACTAGTCCAATCTTTTTTCGAGCCTTGTCCGTTGCTTGCAATGGAACCTGCGCGAAAAAGGCGATCCTCCCCTGTATGGGAACATTTTGATTTGATTGCTTCCAATAAGGTAAGGGAGGAAAACTACATTAAGATAAACGTGACAATGCAGCTTTTCGCTTGTTCTTGTATCTAACTATTGTTATTTTACAGGGAAAGTGTCTGTTGTGTGCAAGGGAACTTGTATAAAACAAAAACACCGCGTCTATGCCGGAGCCAATATTTCCCCAACCTGGCTCGTCCCCTATCTATGACGTCACCCGCGACTCAACTAACCCAGCCGCCGAACACACAAATACAAGAAACAGATTATTACAGTATAAATGCAAAA